TTGCTTTCTGCAGAAAGAAAAAATGTTTAGAATAAGAACTTTCTTCCTGTAGCTTCATGTGTTTTAATGTACTTGTATAAAACAGGATTTTTGTGTGTGCATACAGGTTTGCACCTGTTTCTGTGTGCTAAAGTGCAGCCTGAATCTGTAGCTTCTAGCCTCTGACTGTCATCCCACAGTCGGAGCGCTCTGTGTAGGAGAGAGATTAGCAGCATCAGCTCATTCATGTGCTGCAGCACAGTGGAGGGGTGAGGGAGGAAAAGAGAGGGGATTGAGTTACCACAGACCGTACAAAATGTGTCACCACTGCTCGTCTCTGTCTCCAACACAGTTGTGACCGCATCTTTCAGCTTTTGCAACCCTAATATATCCTGCAAAGTGCATTTGTGAGTGGGCTGTGCACGGATAATTTGTCTTTGAAGAAGCATGGTTTGGTGCTGAAGCTGTAATTCTCTACTGGAGCTTCTCTGGGGTAAAGAAACAATAAACACAACGTACGACTTTGTGTAACATTCTGAGTCCCCAATAGCAGAGACAAGGTAGAAAGTCAGGCTGGCATTAAGGTTCACTGACTCCGGCAAACATACCAATCTTTGGGGAAAAGAGAGGAAATATAACTGTATGTTTAGCAGCATTTGAGGCCAAAAACTGAGGAGACAGTGTCACTGCTGAGCTGGGGCTGTGGATGTGCCTAAACAGGTGCTCAAGAATAGAGATATTATTGGTGGGTAACTGATTGTAAATGTGTGAATAGATCTACAGGTGCACGAACAGATCCGCCAATATGTGGACCAGTTTCTAAGTGCATACATAGTTATTAATAGCTGAAAAGTATGTATTTACATAGCTTTAGCTTTTGCATCAAAATTATCTCCATATTTGAGGGTAATATCTCAAGTCCAGCAACCATTAACAAGGTGAAACAGCCTCAGCACTTTTGAAGTACTGTTCAGGGACATAAAACATCTGTTTTTTTCAGGTACAAATCGTATTGACCATGATGCAACAACCCTGGAACTGTTGCTTTCCAGTCTGGCTTAAGACACTTAAGCAGAAACTTATGCAAAAGTCCCCTGGTTATCTTCTTATTCACTCCGCCATTATCCTGCTGGTAAAGTTGCCATTCCAGCCATTGAAGAAGCGTCCGTCTCCTGGGAAAAAGGAGGTTCTGGATGTATGTGAGTTGGCCCTCCTGTGAAGATGATGGGATGTGAAGAGGGTAGCTTCGGGCTAATTAGGCCAGCTCTGGTCTGGTCAGCCTGACTGAACACAGCGGCGCAGACAGCCTGTGGTCAAGCTAGACCCTCTTAGCCTTTCACCGAACACACGAACGTGATCGCAAACACATAAACACTTCGATTCAGGCCGCGGGCACAAACTGCTTTCCTTCTGCCACGTTGAATTATCTGTTAGTTCTGCGCCTCTTTCATGGATGAGGATTTAGTGGAGCTGTAGACAAAAATATGCTGGATTCAATAGAAAAGACTTAGGAACTGTCATTAGAGAGAATAATTCTTAGCTATGACTGTGTCCATGAAGTCAGCCCATTCATTTTTATAATTAGAAAAGAAGTGGGTGCAGGAGAGAAGAAGAGAGGGGAGCAAGGAAAGCAGGAAACAAGAGAAGAAGAAGCTCTAGTAAGTGGAGCAAAGAAGAGAGAGAATTGGTGAAGAAACCAGTCACTCCAGTTCAGAGTGCAACCACTGACCTGCCTCTTTAACAGCCCACCACCTTCAGAAAGGAACCAGGATTTGGTTTCAAATCGGGCTTTTCTGGCCCCTTCTGACGTACTGCAGTTGTCAGTCAGCCAGTGGGATTACTGCTGTGATTTTCGTACGGTTACGGTCTGTGATTTGGCTTCTGAGTCATCAGCCAGTCACTTTGATTGGCCACAGAGGAGGTTATTTGAGGCTGCAATTAATTAGGAGTGCAAACGAAGGTTTGTAGGAGATTTGTTTTAACTTTTTGTGGTAGTTCTGCAGAAGAGTTCTCGTGAAATTCTTTGTATGTCGAATGACATTTAAGACAATTCAAGTGCTCCCTCCAACTTCTCTCTTCCTTTGTCTCTCTCCATCTCCCCTTGTTTCTTGTCCAATGATTTTTGCTCTAGAGGAGAAGTTTGATAGTTTGGTATGACATGCAAATTAACCTGGAAGTGTGAACACCCCGTCGGCATCGTTTTAAACACACTCATACAGCAGATTGTGAATTGATTGCTCATGCTTTGAAAGGAAGAATAACGTTAACAAGTGAGTGTTCCCCTGTATGAGCCTGATTTTTTTTATTCAGCATCCATTGGCTTCTTGCTGTCAGAAGCCTTTTCCCCGTTCCTTTCTGCTTGTTGACTTTATGTCTCTCTCTTGGCTACCCACTGGTTGAAGAACTTTTCCACAAAATCACACACTCATGTTGAACACTCATCTCTTCAAAAAAAACATTACCTTGATGAATCACGCTCTCTTTTCCTCTAATCACTTTAATTGCTATAAAAAGAAACTTTTCAACCTCAGCTCTTATTTCCACTTCTGTTCCAAGCTCGTACACACTCGTTCTGGCTTCACAGGAAGTTTGTACCTGCAGGCTCTGGCCCTTGCACTCCTTATAATTGCTTGCGTGTGATGATGAATGCAGCAATCAACAGATTTGAAGTCAATCTATTGCCCACAATCTTAGTCACTCTGAATTTTATTAATGGCGTGAAATATTAAGCTGAATGTTAGTGATTTAAACCTGCTCCTCTCTGTACCCACCTGCAGCTCTGCAAACACAGATAACATTTCACACCCCACTCTGACCTCCCACTTCAATATCATCTTCACGTGCTCCTTCAGTGCATCCATCATCCTATCCCTCCACTTTCAAACTTCACTTGTAAACCGTAAACATGCCCTTGCTTTCTCTTTTCTTCCTCTTCCTACGTGTCCTAAAATCTTTGAATCTCTTTGCACTCGCAAAGTGTTTGCTCTCCCTCTTACTCTCTTTCCCTTCTATCCCTCTCTGTCTATCATTATCTCTATTTTTCCCTCTTGTTTTCTGTTCACTTCTGGCTTTGTCTCGCTCCTGGGGTAAAGGAAATACAAGGAAGGGCATTATCTGTTTCTTACACTCAAATGGAGTAAGCAACATGCATCTTATTTTAACAAGATTCCAATCAAAGATCAAATCCAGTAACCCTATGTTTACTGTTATTAAGGACGCTTTGCTTTCTACAGTGGCATGTCACAATAATCTGTCACTGCTATCCAACTGGAAAACTCTCCCTTATCAAAAGTTTGAATTTTAAGCAGAAACGTTTTTCTCTCTTCGGCGATGTCCTGCAGTTTTCTCATGATTGCCTAAATCTGAAAGCTGTTGCCTGAGTGTCTGATGCTGTCCCCGTTCCTCCTCCCACAGTCATTGCTCTCTCTCTCTCTCTCCCTTCTGTCAACCTGCTCCTCGTGTGTGTGTGTGTGTGATGCTGTACAGGGGCAGCTAAGAGCGTGCATCTCAGCAGGTTGGCAAAACATTAGAGGGGGCATGCTATTTGATATGGCGGTAATCTTCTGTTAAATCCCCCCAGAGTGAAACACAGCCGCCTGCAGCTTTGCACCGATTCCAAAAATGGTTTCCTTCTTCCTCTTTTTCTGTACAAGTATACCCACTTGCTGAGATCAGCTCTGCATATATATATGTGTGTGTGTGTGTGTGTGTGTGTGTGTGGCATGTATGGGTGTGGAATTAGCGAGACTTAATGTCACTGTCCCCGGTTAAAGCGCTGGTTAAGCTAAGCAGCCTGGTTTTAGTTTGTAGCAGAATAATGTGATTTAGTGTTGTGCACACTCTGAGGGCAGATGTGTGTCATCCATGTAATAACGTGTGGTTGGTACAAACTCAAAGGTGGCTGATAATTCTCTTGGCTGAGCTGATTGGTTTCCTCTATGTGCAGATTACTTTGAAGAAGTAACTTTTAAGCTATTTTCCTCTTTTGAACCACAGATAATGTCTTCTTAGTAGCATTGCTGTAGGTCCTAGTTTGTCTATTGTGATTATATTTCACAGCTTTACTAATGTTGTATCTGGCAACTCTGGAGACACATCACCTTCCTAACTCTTTCTTTTTTAACTTTTTTTTTTGACATTTCTTTAGATTTGAAGACTTCAAACTAGAGCTGTCAGTCCTAACTAGTTAATTGTGATTAATTAAGGTCTGAAATGAATGCATTCATTATTTTTAACCTCCTGAGTGTCTCCCTGTAGTCACAATGATGGAAAAGAAAAACACTACTGCATCTTTGAATGTCTCCCTTTAAAATACTCTCAGACAGCTCAGTTGAAGAGTCCAAAGTAATATCCACTAGGGCCGAGAATCTTTGGGTGTCTCAGGATTCGATTTAATTTTGATTCTTGGGCTCACGATTTGATTCATAATATATTTTCGATTCAAAACGATTCTGGATTCATGACTCAGAGTATTTCTGAATTAGTTTATACTTAACGATCTACTCCAGTCATCTTTGAGACTGGCTGAATTTCTTGCTGCTCCATTTGGCATTGTACTGAGTGGAAGAGCTAGCCTTAGCACTAAGCAGGAAGTGACTGATTTAAGCAACTTTGTCACCGTTCCCATGAGCTGTTTACTTTTACTACAGTGTTTGATCCGTAACGAGTTCCCTTTTCCTTGGTTCTTTGGTTTCTATCTTCCAGAATGTCCAAAATAAAAGCAGGGTTGAATTCAAGAAGCAAGTAAAAAAAAACGGTAAAAAAATTTCAAAATAAAAGCCTGACCATTTTTATTTCTAAATGTGAAATAATGGAATTTCAAACATTCCATTAAAAATGCGATTTATCATGTTTAACTATTGAAATGTGGCGATTAAAAAAAAAAATGTAATCATTTGACAGCTCTACTTGAAACTCATAACTCTGAGAAGCTCAAATGTATGCTTATCATATGATCACAGTTTTTGCCAGACGTGTCGTGATGCCTTACCAACTAACAAACTATTGCTCTGATGACATGAATGTGTGGTTTTCTTTTTCAGAAATACAAGGAGTTCGAGCGGGCGGTGCGGGTGGAGGAAATCGATGGGCTGCGGCTGGTGAAGAGGTTGGCAGAGGACATGGAGGAGATGTTTCACAAGAAAGCTGAGGCAATGAAGGTATTTCAACTTCAATCTTCATCCATCACAAAAACCTCAAAAGTATTCCTAAAGAAGCCGATGGGCACTAGAAAAGGACAAAAGATGTATTCAATGTAATGACATGATTTCTTTTCATCATTTCATCTTTTTTTATAATCAGTTGGTTCACGGTTTTTTAGAAGAAAGATTGAAAACAATACAATGAGCTCAGTTAAGTCACATCTTATTTCCTGACCACTCTGCTGACCAGATTGGATGTCTGAGGATGTGCTGCGGTGTCACATTGCAACAGGGAAACCAGACACATCTTAGGTTTGCTGTGTGTGTGTGTGTGTGTGTGTGTGTGTGTGTGTGTGTGTGTGTGTGTGTGTGTGTGTGTGTGTGTGTGTGTGTGTGTGTGTGTGTGTGTGTGTGTGTGTGTGTGTGTGTGTGTGTGTGTGTGTGTGTGTGGGGGGGGGTGCTGTGGGTGAGGTGACAGACAGAGAGGCTGTGATCTAAACTATCAGTGTCTGTGTCACCTCATTGATCCGCTCAGACCAATCATCTGAGTCTAGTGTACTGGGCCACTTCAGGACAATGATTGGAACTGAATTAAATAATATGAGATGGGTTTCTAAATGCCTTTATTTCTTGTTTTTCTAGGTGAAGGGTTTTAGTCTTTATTTATTGTTTTTTTTTAGTACAAATGGATAGCCTGTAGCCTTTTTAGTATCCTGTTGAGGAATAACTGTTTAACTGTACAAGTTTAAGGTTCATAATAAACATAAACTTAAACATTTTTACCACATTTCAGTTAGGAAGATGGGAATACAGACTTTTTTACCATGCCACATTTCTTTGACAGAATTTGAACACAACAAATTGAGATTTTCTTTAAAAAGCAGATCATTTCTTCATTATGTATACATTGCATGCCTGGGCTTGAGACATACATGATAAGAGGCATTATAGCTTTTAGAGATGCACTGATTTGGAAGATCAGATCAGATAGCGATGCTTGTTTCATGACTTCCTTTGGTGTAAGATTCCAACAATGCCACCATTCTCTCTGATGTTTGACAATGAAAACAAGTCAGACATTGTTCAATAGCTGACTTCATCTGCCCATTAAAAAACATCGTCTCTGAATCAGTAGGTAGCTGCACTGGATGCCAGCATTAAACTGATTTGGCACAGCAAATATTCTTGGCTCATACCAGAATATTTGTGTTGTGTTGATGTATGGCAGCAGAGCCAAAATAGGCTGATACCGTTGCATCGGTGCATCCCGAATATGTTTGGACCATCCATTCAACTGCCCAATCTCGTTAAGACAATATCTCGGGAACAGATACAGAGGAAAAAAACATCCAGTTGGAGTCAATGATGAATTGATTTGTATTCTGACCGTCAAAGGTCATGATTATTGTGATCATATAGAATACATTTTTGGCCATAACTCAAGAATACATGGTGTGTTGTCAGTTTTGTAATAGGTGCAGTTCAGGATGTGTCCACGGTGCACTGCCTCTCTAGCTGCAGCTCTAGCTCCAGGTGATAGATCCTATCAGGGCAACATGTTGCTGTTAACAGAAATTGGATTTCTCTCTGAGAGTCAGGTCCAAGGATACAAACTGAAAGGAAAGCAAGCGAGGGAAAGGGAGAGCGAGAGAGGGCAGGGGGTGAGCAGATAGTGACAAGCTATTTCCATGCTTTAGCTTTGCTTGTGCATGTGTTATTATGTTTTTGAATGATACCTCTGCCCGTACGGATTGCATGACCATGGCCGCTTTAAAGTGTTTGAGTTCACTTTGACAGCTTTTACATTTCCACATACAGAAAACATAAAGTACTTACTTCTGATGTGAGTCATCTGACATTTCAAAAATCTGACTCCTACTGTTACACAATGATTGGTTGCATTAAAGCAAGGTTCAAATTGAATTATTCTCCTGGTTTTGTCATTAACATTCCCTTAAAGGAAAACAATCTCAGCTATTTGATATTACACAACATCGTTATATTGTAAACCATTTCAGTATACTTGCTTTAATTTGTGAAATGAATTTGTCAAAACATTTGTCAAAACATTTCTTCTCAACGGGTTGCATTTGTTTCATCACTAAGGCTTATTTATTTTTGTTAGATGAGGTGTTTTTTTAACTTATTGTCTGTATGTGTGTGTAAAATACTTGGAGGTATGAGGGCGTCTTGGTAAACAATTATCTTTTGTGGAGGAGCCTGATATTTGTGCATCTCTACTGTGTGTTCATTTATGTTTAGAGTAAAGGTGATGAGGGTTGTTTATATAGGAATACTTTCTGTATTTAAGTGCAGCAAATAACTGAAAAATAAAAGCCCCTGCCCACATGATTTGAGAATTTAACTATTAACAGGTGCTATTATGACGACACTTCCTCTCCACCTCTTATTTTCAACGCTGACAGTCAGCCTTGTGAGGTTTTTTTTTTGTCGTGATCCTACATATAGAGACCTTTTCCCTCCTTCTCCATCTTTTTCCATTTGTTGCCCTGCTTTTATTATTCTCCTCTGTCTGCTGTCACGCTGCTGTCCTTAAGCATCCCTCGCTCCTTTGTCCGTCTCTCCTCTCTCTACTCCGCCTCTTCCCATTTATCCGCTTTTTGCTTAACTATACGTGGCGCTTCGGTGATTCAATTTCCGTTCAGGCGCCCTCCCCTGTCCGTCAGTGCGGTTTTATCTCCTCGTCTCCACGTTGATTCCCGCTCTTCATTGCTCACCCCACCTGCCAAGAGACAGCAGCGCCTGCTGCTGCTGTAAAAGGGTGCACCTGTAAATATGTGTACGCTGGCCGATGTCATTCTTTGTAGGAGTGTTTGGTGATTTTATGATTTCTTTTTTCTGTGTTGAAATATGATATGGTAGAGAACCATGTTTATACACTTATTTTATGGAATTAAAGCTTCTGCATGTTTGTTTTGTTTTTTTCCCCCCATGTGGTTAAAAGAGTGTGACAGAGTGTATACAGTTTAGAAGTGTGTTATTGCATTTAGAGTTGGTGTTTTAGTGTGTGTATGCCTTGATCCACCTTCTCTTATCATCTCTGCATTATTTTATTTTTTAGTTCAGCCACCGTTCGTCTGAAGGGAAATGAAACTTTAGCAAAGCCCAGTTTTCCCTTTTAGCTGCTTTGGCTAATTTAATTGCAACACTACCAATATAGATAAGCTTAAAAAAAAAAACAATGTTTCAAACTGTCATTTGATGGAAAGGACAGTGATGTGTATTTTTGTGCTTATTCCTGGACTGAGCAAGCCTATTAGGTTGTCTTTGTTCATTTTTAATTACATTGCCTTCATCAGTTTCTGAGTTGGTGGGATATGATCGTCATCTAGCAACTCTCTCCTCTCCTCTCCTCTCCTCTCCTCTCCTCGCCTCGCCTCACCTCTCCTCTCCTCTCCTCGCCTCACCTCTCCTCTCCTCGCCTCGCCTCACCTCTCCTCTCCTCTCCTCTCCTCTCCTCTCCTCTCCTCGCCTCTCTCCTCTCCTCTGCTCTCCTCTCCATCTCTTTTTGAAAAAGTTTTGTCTGCTGGCTGAAAAAGGGTGGCAACAGCCAGCGGTTAAAGAAACAGTGCGCATGTTGTTATCAAAGTTAAAAGGCGTGGAGCTATTGTAATGCCCTCTTTGAAGTCAAGCGCTGCTGTGTTTCATGTGACAAATGCACTTCAAAGCAGAATGGATGCCTTGCTGCTAGGACTGTTTCTCCTGTAATGGCATTCGGTGTCTGCATTCTCTGTACCTGCTGATATAATTTACCTGTGGCAGCTATGCCTCTGTAGCCCCAACATGATTACTAGTGTAGAGCAGGTAAAGTCTGCATGAGTGTATGTTCAAAATAAAAAGCTCACATAGCACTTTAAATGGAATTCCTCTGCCAGCAAAAACTCCTATGATCTTTAATTTTCTTTTGTTGAAATGCACAGTGAATATTAAACACAAAGTTAGCATTTTAATAATGTGCCACATCACCTGCAGGAGAAGATTTGAATTAAGATGAATAAGAGTCCTATTTTTGAGTTTTTAACCGTCATTTCTATCTGTAACAAAATGATAACTTTGCTATTAAACAGCAGGAGTCCAGAAATATTCAGAAAATTTTGTTGAAGACCAACTCTGGATGTGCTCTCTTGGATTCAACTCCTAAAAGGCATAAAGACCATGCTATGAAAAAGAGGCATTTACATTTTTTTTTTTAAACGACAGCCTTAGAATTGTTCTTTTCTCTATGTATCACAATTCAAAGAGCTCCTCAGAACTTCACTTCTTTGAGTCTATGAACAATCCTTCCTTTAGTTCCTCTTTGTATATTTTATACTTTAAATGTATTTGATTACTATCCAGTAATGTTAAGCAACATTTCAGAGATGGACTCATTCAGACAACCAGCTGGTGGCAATAATTCTTCAGTAGGGTGCTAATAAAACTTTTTGGAGAAGAAAGGTGGAAATATGCCATTTATACTTTCCTCCTTAACCCTTTAGTCCCTGTTGTGTCTACTCTTAAGGAAGTGGACACTTCAGTTGACTTTTAAGTCGTGGTTCATGCACACCACATTTTATTTTATTTTTTTTACTTTTCCTAATGTATATACATATATTTTTTTACATTCCTCAAATGTTTCCACTTCCATCCAAGAGTGAAAACTTAAAAGAAAATTTGAAAGAGTTTTCAAAACTGTTGGACAGAACAAATTTCCCATTCCCACCCACATTCTAATGGAAATAAGGAAATGTCAGTTTATTTTAATTGTTCAGAACTTCTTGCAGATTTGAGAGCTGAACTTGCTTATCATATGCCCCTTAGCCTGTTTCACATATGTACTCCTGAAAATATCTAGATCATTTCAGGAGGACTGCTCCGGATATTCTCCTGACCTGGCTGTTCACATATGCTCCTCACAGCGGGGACTATCCCTGTCAGATGGGAGGGGGGGTGGGGGGGGGGTCTCCTGAGGTTAGACTTGATGTAAATAAAAAATAGTAGCGGAGTCCATTATAAGA